TTCCTTAACTTTTTACAAAGTTCCGACTTTTGGTTTCTTTGCTGAGTAATTACTGTTAGCTAGTGAATTACAAGGCTCTTTCGTTCGACGGGTCATTTTTAACCACTTGCCACCTTTCAAAGTTATCGGATGTAGGAAGATGATTAGGGCTCTTTTCAACAAACTTAACGTTGACCACTATAGATTACAACCTCATATCTCCTCTGTAGATGGTTCACTAACTGAGTCACTAGGCTGGGCGCGGGTCATGGCTTAAAGACTTTCTTAGGTGGCACTGACAGTGCTTTACCTATATGTCTTTCATTGGAAGCTAACACGATCTTGTGACTGACAGTTTCAGGTTAGCTCTAATAGTTATAAAAATGCGTGAACCTGAAGATGCTCGCTTAGCCTTGCTTAGAATTTTTTTTCAAAGTCCTCTGTATTACATCCTATATTTGGTTTCCTAACCTAACTTTCAGTCTGCAGTACACATTTGTAGCGTTCTCTATATCGGCCTATGTGTCAACTGATGTAGTGCCATTACCATTATCTGAGTCATTAGCTTTTATTTTGAGCACCACTTCTACGCGCTAGTATTCATAAGTGATTTATATCCATCGGCCAAGCCTCAAACGTTCCAGCACCACAACAAATGAAACCAGATCCTTACTGCATTACTATACTTTTTGTGTGTTTCAAGCACATGGTTCGTATACTTGTCGTGATGCTACGTTTTGCATTCATTACATTATATACCAGAGACAACTGCAAATTGATACCACTAATACCTCGTATGATTCTATGAACATTTTGTACAATCAGAACCTTTCGTTGTTCCTTCATTGGTTTCATGATATTTTCGACGATCGTTCATAGTTAGACGATTCGACACCTCGGAAATAGACAAATGGGCATTCAGTACTTTTTCGAATCACAATTTAAGAAATGCCAAGTTTTAAAGAGCACATGGTGAGGACTAATCTGCGTTGTATCACCTACTTCTCTTTATTTATGAATTAAATGTTTAGTACGTCATAAAGGAATCACAATAACTCCGGTGTTAGTTAACAATCAACCTTTGACAAGAAAATCTCGTTAGTAATATGATTTACCATGAAGTCCAGCAGAAATATAGGCTGAGTAAATTTTCACTGGTAAGATTATTAGAAAGCATACTTTACAACAATGTCAATCCATACAATGCTCTAATTTTACAACTGCACTTCTGGAACAAAATTTAGCCCTTCAGCCTTCAAGGGGGCTAAGATTTTAGTTTCATTCTGTCGATTTATTAGATATATCACACAATGGAACAGTAATATTTACTGGATTATATTTCAGACACAATTTATTGCCCATAATCATATCTTGCTATAACAGTGTGACATCAACTATTTCAACTAAAACAGAATTAAATTGCACCAGTGCCAAAGTTTTACTCTTATTTGAATAAAAACCTAGGTAATGTGAGTGTACTTTTCGAATGTGAACTGGTTAAATTAAAATACCTGAAAATAACAGAATATGTCCATCAGTTTGATTCTACGTAAAACGCCCCCCCCCCCTGAAGTTATTCATTGCAGGTTTTAGGCTTCATTATTACTAAAGATTGCTATAACCTTCTTGTTAGGTTTATATCAATTTCCTTGGTTTATTCTAAACATCACTTCTTGCTGAAAGAAATTTTCCAGGTAGAATACTTCCATACTAAAAACTTGAGCACTAAGTTTTCACTACATATCACTTCTTCTTTCTTCAGTCAAAAACAAATTTAAATCTCCAAGTAAAAGCAATATTTTAATAAGGTTAATCCATGAAAAGTCTTGAAGTTCCCGTGTATCTTTCATTTTCTTTAAAAAAAGACATTCCAATAAATTTTATGTAACCGTAATGGATTACAATTGTGTATGTAAATGCATTTCTTATTCTTCATCAGGATGTGTACATTTTTGATCAGTTGCAGTGCTAAATAAAGAAGTTCATCAGTAAATAGTGTTTTAGTCACATTCGAATATCTGCTTTATATACCAAAATGTTTTACATTTTATGTGTAATATGATTAACTACGTACCTTATCAGATTTTCAAGTTCATTTGAACTATTTGTAATTCTTGCGCCACAACGTGGTGTTAATGGTGTTTATTTGTACTAATATCTAAAAACTGCGTAAGTTGCATGCACATAAAAATTGAAATTCCTTCGACTACCCCCATGTTTGTCATAATTATATCAAGTATCATTATTTTTTTATTACTTGTCCCCTGGGTTCCTAGTGGAACATAGGGCTTCAGTAGCACATCTCCAGTGCACTCTGTTCTCTGCAAACTTTTGAACATGGCCCCAATACTGCTCAGAAGCTTTCATTTCTTCCTCACACGATCTCCTTCATGTCACCCTCGTCTCGGACGCCCAACTCGTCGTTTCTCATCGGGGTCCCACTCGAGGGCCTGACGCGTGATGTCCCCAGTCGGCCTTCTCAGTGTATGCCCAATCCATCTCCACTTCCTTCCAGTGCATATTTGTTGAGCGATAGATTCTTGGTTGGTTCGTTCCCAGAGTTCCTTGTTGCTCATTCTTTCTGGCCATCTGAGCTTCAGTAACGTGCGTGGGCAGTTATTGATGAATGTCTGTAGTTTGCTGGAAATGCTTTTCGTAACGCGTCAAGTCTCTGAACCATACAGAAGCACTGGCTTGATTGATATTATTGTTGGAAATCTTTCAAATTTTATGAGAACACTGTACCTAATTTAAGTTGTAACATGCTTGTCAGATATGCTTTTCGGTAATTTTCATGTAGCATATTCATGAACAAATTGATAATAATCAACCCTAAGTTCAGCTTTCTTCAAATTATTCAAAATTATTCCTATGTTAAATTTATCCTTTTTGATGAAATTTTTGTGGTTGGTATGAAGTAGCTGAAAAACCGATGTTTTTGGCAAAATACGGAGAAAGGTTAATTGTTGATACTTTTAATTTCCCGTTGCTATGTTGGATCGAATTATTTAATCTCTGTTGGCTTCTGTCTTGCCTGAATATTCATTATGTTGTAGTTTACTTGGTGGCTAGCAGTGGAATTCAGAATGCCTGCCTCATGCGATTTGGGACTCATCAGCTGGGTGTTCCTACACCTCGGTGAGTGATGTTGTGACTACTGGAACTCGAACTTAGTAGTCATCCCTTTAAAAACCAGAGCATTTTTCACCGGGCTACTGAAACCCAAGAACCATATCTTTCGCAACGAGTATCAGTTGTTACTTGGGGTTGGAAGCGATGGGTACCGGGTTTGAATCCCAGTGAGATTACTATTACTCACTGGGATTCAGACGCATCCAACTGACGAGTCCCGAATAGGATGAGGCGCTCGTCCTGATCTCCACTATTAGCTAACAGGTGCGCTGTAACGAGGGAGACACTTCTTTAGTTTGTATACTGTGCTTGGACCACGTCTATTGCTTCTAGAAGATTTTGTATGTGAAATTGCGCCTTGTATGAAAAAGATTAATTGTGACTGATAATTGAATAAGAATTCAAAACAAATAAAATAAATAGTATAATACCACATAATCAATGTAAAATGACAAATGCACTATAACTATAAGAATATATATATATATATATATATATATATATATATATATATATATATATATATATATATATATACAAAAAGTAAGTTACTAATGTTCCCGTACATCTAATTGTCAAGATGAAACACCAGTGAATATGTCATAGGGTGTAGAAGTTAAATGAATAGAAATTGATGGCTAGTTATTTACTTTTGCAAAGATTAAAACGATAATTTACTCGAGTATCTTGAGTAACCTGGCTTACACTGCTGTAAAACACTAAATAGGAAGACATGTGCTTCGAGTTTAAATTGTAAACTTCTAAATCTCATAAGTAAAACATCTAGCGACCAGCTTCAAGAGATCAACAATTAACAGTTACTGAGCTACATATCTATAACCTAGAGTTTTATTTCTCGGGGTTATAATAAATATTATCGATAACTTTAGATGTGTTCTTTTGAAGTAATAACTGTTGCCAGTTTCAGACTGACACCATTATTCAGCTTTTTTTCCTTACCTACTGCACTATTCACATTATTCGTTCATTTCCTTAAATCGAGTCTTGCCACCTGATGTCATCCATTTTTTGAACTTTCAAGTATATATCAGTTAAAAATGTTTGTTGAAATGGAGTCACTAATTATTGACCAATGCTACTTCAGAAAATATTCTCCTTGCATTTTCTTATAGGTGAGTACTAACTTCTGCTTGGAAAATAAAATTTTGAAATTGGCTTTCATTTTACTGGCATCAAACTTGCTGAAAAGTCTATAAACGGAAAAGCATAACTAAAAACTTATGCATGTAGAACGAATTAGACCTCAAGTTTTTCGTGACACCTATAATGTTGGAACCTCTTATGATGGACTTAGTCCAGGAAGTTCATGTGAATATGATAGAAGTTTGGTTACTTCACGTGTATACGAAAGAACACGAATTTATACACTGGCAGGTGAGTACATGTTTATGCTTTTAATTTCATCTTCACAGCGGAAAGACAGACAGTTCAAAAGAAGACATTCACAAAATGGGCGAATACTTTCCTGAGAAGAGTTGGATTAGAAATATATGATCTATTCTTGGACTTACGTGATGGAAAAATTTTATTACAGCTTTTAGAAATACTATCTGGCACTAAAATGGTATAATGCAAATTAACACTGATTATTATTTTTCAATAATTTATACTTTATTTGTAGCCTAGTCCAACTTTGGGAAGAATGAGAATCCACTGCTTAGAAAATATTGACAAATCTCTTTTCTTTCTAAGTAAATTTGGTGTACATCTCGAAAATATTGGTGCACATGACATTGTTGACGGGAATGCCAGAATCACTCTTGGTTTGATATGGATGATAATTCTGCGTTTTCAAATTCAGGACATAATGTTCATGGAAAAAGTAGACGGTTTGGGAGCGAAAAGCGATGTTCGACGATATTCTAAAGATGCTTTATTATTATGGTGTCAGTTGAAGACTTCAGGTTATCGGAATGTGGATGTACAAAACTTTACAACTAGTTGGCGTGATGGTTTGGCTTTTAATGCTCTTATTCACAGGCATCGTCCTGATTTAGTTAATTTTGATGAATTATCAGTGAATACACCATTGCAGAATTTGGAATCAGCATTTTTAGTTGCTGAAAAAAAGTTAGGAATAGCAAGGCTTTTTGATCCAGAAGATATCTATGTTCAACAGCCAGATGAAAAATCAATTGTCACCTATGTAGTTACATACTACCATTACTTCTCTAAACTAAAATCAGAAACTGTTCATGCACGTCGTGTCGAAAAGTTTATAACTTACTGGCGAGATCTTCAAAATTGTTTTAATTGGTATGAACAGCGTACATCAGATCTTTTAGGATGGATAGCCAAGACGGTGTTATGGCTAAATGATCGCAATTTTCCAAATCAGGTTGAAGAAATTCAACAGGTAATGATTGCATTCAAGGAGTATCGTCTACATGAAAAATCAAACAAATTCAATGAGAAAGGTGAACTAGAAGCTCATTTTCTTTTAACGCGAACAAAAATGCGAACCTTAGGACTTAGAAATTATATCCCATCTGCAGAAGCACAAATATCTCAAATTAACCGTGCTTGGATTGCATTGGAGAAAGCAGAGCATGCACGTGAGGTAGCTTTAAGAGAAGAACTTGCTAAACAGAATAGATTATTGCATTTATTTTCACGTTTTGAGAAGAAAGCCAACCTACGAAAAGCTTGGATTAATGATAATTACAAACTAGTTGAAGTTTGTGATGATGACAGAAACTTCACAATGACAGAAGCTTCACTAAAAAAGTATGAAGCGTTAAAAGCTGATGTTTGTGCATATTCTGATCGAATACAAACAATACAACAGATAGCTGATGAACTTATTCGAAACAATTTTTTTAAACAAGATTCAATTTCAAAAATTCAAAAAGAAATCCAACATATGTGGCATAGACTTTTAACTGTAATGAATGAAAGATATAAAAAGCTAGAAAATCGAAAGAATTTATTTAAAAAATTCTCAGAAGCTGATTACTTGATTGAATCTATACAACTACTAATATCTAAATTATATAACAATGAGTTTGATGATAATTTAACAATTATTGAAGAACGTTTAAAACAATATGAAATAATTGAAACAGATATTCGTTCAATACATCGAAATATAACAGTGCTTTTGAACTTGAATCACAGATTGAATACTCTCCTGAATTGTTTGGTTTTAGAACAAGTAATGTGATAGTAGAGATAAAAAAACAGAATGATATATTAAAAAGTGCTTATTCAAAACTAGTACAATTAGCTGAATCAAAAAGACAATCCATAGAAATTTTAAGAATTTATCATATTTTAATTAATGAATTAGATGAACAATTATCTTCAATACAAGAACGAACATCCTATCTAAAGAAAAGTGAAACATTTATTGACAATGGGAATGTGAGTGTTTTATTTCGACGTCATAAAGTTGCTGAATATGAATTGGAAACACAGAGATTAAGCATAACTCAGTTATTTGAAAGAGTATCTAACTTAATTGAAGAAGAATGTCCAAATTATGAAAATTTAAAAGAAAAAGTTACAAAAGTTGAAAAAGCTTGGGAGTATCTTATAAATTTGATGGCTAAACGTAAGACTAATTTATTGTTCATGAAAGATTTTCAAGCTTTTATGTTAAGCTGTGATGATGCGGATGCATGGATATCTGAGAAGTATGAACTTAGCTCAGGTGTCATGCGTATTGCTACACAAACTGACAGTATTTATACAATAGAAAGACTAACAAAACAACACGAAGAAACTATCACTAGTTTAAATAACTTTCAAACCTCTATAGAGCAGTTAAAACTCCAAGGTGAAGAACTTTTAGGATTTATTGACTGTTTGATAAGTGAGGTCGAAAAAGAAGCTGAGGCAACCAACCATGCTTTGGAAGGGAGTGTTAAATCTAAGGAGGGGATCAGAAATACAATAAAAAACAGGATCAAAAATCTATCAGACTCATTCTCGGTTCTTACTAAATGTATTCGTCAGACTCAATTGCTTCTTTTAGATGCTGTATCACTTCATCAGTTGTTTCAGATGGCTTCATCAACATATAATTGGATTACAGAAAAGGAGATTTACATGCAACTTTTAATAATGGATGACCTACAAGAAGATGAGTTGTCTAGGATAATGGAAGGCGATATCAAGTCGAATCAAGGCTTGATCCAAAGGTTGGAAATCGTTAAGAATAGATTTTCCGATTTGGAGGAACAGATGAGTACAGCAGCTGAGCAAGTAAGTAAAGTAGTAAATTTTTGTCCTTATACCATTTCTTATTTTCATTGTCACTAGTTTATACTTAATTATGATTTATGAGTCACAGGGAAAAGATTAAATGAAAGTTGTAGGATGGCAGTTATAACAGAAAAGTCGCTACTATTCCGATGCACAAAAACGCTCTAGAGTTTGGGTTTCAAAGGGAACTTATCATAATGTGTATAGCTTCTGTTGAACCTATAAAACGTACCCTGTCCTAGGATTAGATGAAAAAGCAATCTTTAAAGAGTAGCTGTACAAGCTATTCCAGCATCTCAAATAACCGCATACATTCTTAATTTACTGAATATTGAGTTTCTGACGCCATTGTCATGGTAAAAAGCATCCCTTCTAAAACATTATTGGTATGGAAGTGAAGTGTCGTATCTATATTCAGTTTAAATGGTAGCATAACGTTCAAGGAAATTAGTGAGTTTTTTATTTTTTGTGAACTACTCCGACCATTTTGTGGATATAAGTAGATGCAGCAAATACAAAACTATAAGGTGAGTGAACCTCGTGAATCAGAAACTAGAGAAAGATAAAAAAAGAGCTTCTGCTAGGGAAATAAATTTTCCACGGGTCACGATTTGACCTTGAGCTCCTGGCTACATGTAAATTTGTTATTGCAGTCAAAAACCAAATTTCGTCAAATCCTCTTTTTTAGATTCAAGGTCAAGAAATAATCAGGCCATTCTTAACTCACGTTATCCTCCAGTTAACACAGGAAAATGAGTGTTCCATGTAACACGGAATACAAATGTATAAAGTTGTAAGCAGAAATGATTCTTAAGGCTATTTCAACAGCTGGTTTATCGAAATTCATTCCTCCGATTAAAATAAAGTTTTCTAATTGAATTTTTTCAGTCGTCACTAGGTTGGTTGTTAAAATTACTCATTAAAGTGCTGGTGTAATCTGTCATTTAATAATCTAGTTTTGTATGAATCTTACAAGGTATCGTTGATATACACAAACACTAACTGTATGAATGAAAAAATCAAGAAAAAAAAATTCCGAAATAGCTAATTTCTAGAAAAAAGTGGGTTACAATTCTACGTAAGGTTTTGTATCAAAGATATTTAGTATTAAAAAGGGGTTGGAGTGCTTTTCAGAAGTTCATATATACATGAATTTTACTTCCATTGTAAAAAGTAATAAGCAACTGTGTGCTTGACTCAATATATAATTTTGTAGTATTCACTCGTAATTCATAAAAGAAATGTTTTATGATATAAACAAAGCATAAAATTTTGTTGTCAGGCAGTGACTGATTGATAATTCGACTAGTTGAACTTCTTATTTTACTTCAGCTAGATAGGAAGTTAACTTAATTTTCCAGTTAAACGGTTCTGAGTTCGACCCTTTTCAGGGTCGTGATTGCGTACTGTTAAGAAGTCCTATACTAGGACAAAATAGCTCCTCACTGCTCCCGAGTTTTCATTGATTCTCTCCATGATGAATGCTATCGCGAAATTAATAAATCCACACAAACCTCCAAACTGAATTATAATGTTCTTTCTTTATTTTAGCCTACATTTTAAAAGTTTATCATTCGTTTTTATTCAGGTATCTAATATAAACAATATGATTACAAGCTTTCTAAATGAACCTAAAAGAGACGATCATTCATTAGTTAATGAAGAAATGACAATTGAAAAAGTTATCAATCTTCAAGATCATTTGAATTCTGCTTGGAATAGAATTGCTGATACTGTAGAATCTCATCGAGATCGAATAACTGAAGAATCATTTCATATTAATTTATTTATTGAATGTAAGTATACATCTGAGTGGATTACAGAAAAGGAGGCAGTTTTACTTTCAACCGATTCAATTGATACTAACAGTTTATCTGGCTTAGTAGAATTAAGAAGGCGTTTATACAACTTACAAGGAGATTTAAAAGCTATTGAAGCACGCGTTCAAAATATTGGTGAACGTATTGGAGAATTACTTGGCATAAGGGAACACGAAGAAGTATATGATGAAGATACAAGGTTAAAGTCTAGACGCCGAGCGGATTACTTAATGAAGGAACATATGAGATTGACACAACAGTGGCTTAATTTGAAAGAAGCACTTAAAAACAGAGTCAATCGAATCTCAACTGAAGGTCAAGTGAGTCGTTTTTTGGAGAAATTGGATTCATTTCAAGATTGGATGAGAAAACTGAAGACTGATGTGTTTATTCGCGAATTTCCTAATGATCTGCAAGTGAGTTTAAGCGTTAAATAACCCATGTTATTGAGCTCTGTTTGTACCCACATAAGTATACCACAGATACCATACTCTTAATACGATACTTTTTCAATGTTTCATGTTTGCTGTCAGCGTACATTAAAACACTGGTAAGCTAGAACTGACTTTTTGTGTTAGTGAACATCAAAAGTACAACCGTTAGAGCATCACACTTCTCAAAAGATTTTACTTATGATATGGTTCACTGTTAAACTATAAATCTCTGAACTTTGCATGGACAGCTAGTACTTCTAATCTTAGCTAAATCATTAAACAGGCAAACTGGTGATTATCCTTACAATTGCAGTACATTCTGTTTACTCTTTTCCAGGTTAGTTCATAGCGGGTAATCATAAAACTGGATATCGGTCAAACAAACATTTACAACCAAACTACTAAATAACACTTAGCTTACATATGATATTCTTAAAGGAACCGTATTTCTGATATCTGTTTATACCTGAGGGATTATTCATATGAACAACACGTCAATTCCTTCTGTTCCAATTCGACAGTTGCAGTATGTTTTCTTATTTCTGTCAACAGCGTTTAAATCTGTCACCTGGAAATCCCTCAAAAGCAGAACAAACTTACATAAACACACTTTTTTAAAGGTCTTGCATCCCAGGAATCTTGTTGCATCTGAAACCATGTACTAGTTTCAGGAAAACAAACTGACCGAACATCTGATCCGACAAAAGACATTATGAACAGAACAGTAATGAGATTTCAACAGCCTTAGAAGATTTTGTATGGATCCAGTGGAATAATATAACGGCTTAATATACTGTAATCTGGTTATCAAGGAGGTCAGCCACGACTTGAAGAACTCAGACTACAGCTTCGGGTGACTCTAATTTGAATTGGATCTCTGAGGAGATATCAATTCCCTCCGTGTTGCAGATATGCCTTGTTGACGAGACCTAGCCATATTCAGAGCTTCCTCTTGACTAATTCCAACCACCAAAATATATGAGTTTTGTATTCATGCCTAGTCAGTGTTTACTCCTATACAAGTTGCTACCTTAGAATATTATTAGGCATACAAATAAATCACACTGGTCAGATTATGGTGGACAATACTTTGTGGAATCACTAACTGTTAATCCGCCTTGAGAATAAATGTATTCGTCTCCTGATTGCTACAGCTAAGTAGATGAGAAAACAACTAGATATCATGGCTAAAAATTAATCACGCTTGTATAAATGTATTTGATTATACCAGTCTCCACATTTGAAACATTTTATTACTTTCTCTTCACTTATTCCTATTTATTCCATATCCTGTCTACAAACTAAAATTTCTGTTTACTAGTGTTGACTTTCTGCTATTTAATTTATAAAGTATAGTAATGTGGCGTTTTCAGTTTATGACTTCGTTTTATTTTATTGATGAGTAGTTCGACTATCACTGATTAAGTTTAATTGGATTCTTCAACCTAGAGTAACTATATTTATATGGTATTAATAGTAAATATTTTCGGTTAACAAAATATAATCTCTTGTTATTACGATCAATTTTTCCCCGATGTTTTCCGTCCCAATGGTAGATTTGCTCGGTTTTTCAGAATCTGCTGTCTCGAAACTGTCATAGGTATTTCGGATATATGTGTATAACTGAAATTAAAAAAGAAACCTGAATAGTGACAGGATTTGAATCAGTTACCTTCAGTCTACTAGAAAAGAGAAAAAATGCTTTCTTTGACTTTAATAATGATACCATTAAGTGACTGATTGCTTCTTGGCTGTGCACATCAGTTCACCTTACAAGATATATATGAAAATGGCTGTGGATTTTTGAAATGTAAAGGACTTCTTTAAATAAGGCTTAAATACCCAAAAATATTCTGTAAATAAATTTTTTGTTGAATATACCTAAAATAAGTAAATCCAAATGATATCAGTATTCACGAGAAAATCTTATTCACCAGGAAAATGCAACTGAAATCACTCAGGCTAGGTATGGACTTGTGCTAAGGCTGATTCTAGAGGCAAATCTTAACAAAGAGAGGATGTAGAACTTTGGAGAATTTCCATAATGATATATGAACTGAATTGATCAACAAAATATTCTTTAACTTATGAGAGTCGATGACATATTGGAAGCAGATTACATATCTAAACCCTAGTGGTCAGTGAAATTTATCGATTGGACAGTGCAGGATGACCAATGAAATATTTAAGTTGAAATGATGATACAACACTGCTATCTTCAAAGGCCACTCTAGTAACTGCTGGAGAACTAACTAAACATTTTTGTTTCTACTGAGAAGGTAATTTTTTATAAGATAAAGAAACATAATCGTTATTGAAGCAGTTGTTAGGGTGAACTGTAGAGTTACTCCACACCACTTCGAGCTTTAGCTTGTCACCCTAGAAATATGAATTTAAAAAAGCCTTCAGCTTAGACGACAGCAGTATCAACTCGTCGAACTATTGATCAACTGTCATTACGCACATATGTAGGTTTGGTTTATAACGTCTTATTGTAAATATTGTACTCTACCTAGCTGACGCAGATAAAACAAACACTGAGGCAGCTATCTGAAAACCCATTTATGCTTCATGATGCTAAGACTCGATAAGTTTCACACTTTTGTTTTCAGTGTCAAAGTCTTTTACACTTTTACAGTACAATCTTATAGATAAAAAGTTTTCACTTGAACGTTATCCCCAAATATAACTTTAAAGAATTTATCTCTGATACACAAAAAATCTCTTCTCATCAAGGAAAGGTGTCTAAAAGTTCATAAAGTTTGCAACTAATGACTAGTTAGTCACTAGGCTAACGAATGAAACTATATTTGTTTAATTACTGACTTGTTTGTGAAAGTAGAATAAGCGTCACGCTGGACGAAATAGTCACGTTTGGTTAAATGCTTTGGTGAGCTATTAATCGCTATTACGCTCAGTTGCATGGCTGTTTGAAATGAGGTGAAGTGTGAAACACACCTCAGTAATCACTATATAGTTAAGCCAAAATTATTCATGGTCTAATTGGTTTGAGTAATTTTTACTTTCTAATATCTATCAAACCTATTACTAACAGACAAACGAGGCTGACGTAGAATATCTCACAAAAGTATTTCGGTTCAAGTTACGACACCTCAGAGCAGCATGCAGAGAATAAATGCACAAAAAGAACTTAACTAAGAAAGACGAAAGTATATAGGAAGAGAGAAAACTCGAAAAACGAAGGTTAGTGATGATGTTCAAACTTTAAGAGACATTGCAGAGTAAGTACATTTGAGCAATTGAAACCTACCTTCAGCTATGTCACCAAGAGTTCTCAATAGTAGACTCATGTTATCTTGAGGACTGTCAGCAAAGACAGTCTGCACCTCTCTACATGGCTCGTATCAACAGTCAGGGACTGTATTAACCAGTATCACGTCTTAGTTTGGCTCACCTGGGCTTTCTACCAACCCAAACCTTCTTCAGCTGACATTGCACATGGGGTTAGACAGTGGTTTGGGATGTGCAACGTTTACCTACATCTCTTCAGTTGGTTAAGGTTTACAAACTCAACTTTTGACCTGCTTTACTTGCTTATAACCCTCCCTCTAGTCTTGACATTGGTCACACAGCGATTTCACTTTATTTGGGCAATGCTGCGGAGAAACCTCTAGTCGAAGACTTGTAACCTCTTCATATCTTTTTTCAGAGGCCATATCTCGGAGCAATATATTAAGGCACAGAACAATGCAGCGCAGTATTTTCATTATTTAATAAACAATTTGATTCCTAACCAGCTCCTAATGTTATGCGAGTCGGCAAATACCGAAAAGACTTTGTTATCTGAGGTGAGATTTAGACAGAAACCTACCCACTAGGGTTGATGCAAGTTCCTAAGTAAGTAGAGTGGTCAACAGAATTCACTACTTCACCTCAAATCCTTAAACCGGAAGGTAGTTGAAGACTAGTCGTGAAAAATCGTTCCACGTTTGACAGGTGTGAAACAACGTATCCCAAACATCCACATATTCAGGAGATGTATTACATCAGCGTCTTAACCAAGCAGGAATGTGTCATTTGTGTGCCGCAAGTCAACCAGATACTCTTTTGAAAATATATCAGTCCTTACGAAGCCTGTGGTTTCTATGGTTACGTTCATCAGTATGTCTATAGCGAAGGTACACAAGGACGGTGACAACACATCCCTGGTGGACACTAATGTTTGTTATCATTTTAGATGGCAACCGTCCAAAAGACTTTACACGGCTGCACGAGTTGAAGTAGAGAGACTCGATTAGTATAGTGTACCTGGTACTCTCACTTTGATAAAACCAGTTCTTGAGGTGTTCTGGAACTTTTCCTTTGCAAACACCATTTAATTCATAAAGATTTTAATAAATGAGCAGTTAGTAATTTTATTTCAATAGGTTGATTAAGTCAAGAATTGTCCATCAGTATTCTTCTTATTGGAAATAAAGTTATTTCAGTAGCTAAGATTATTATTATTATTCTATTATTTGTCCCTTGGGCTCCTAGTGGAACATAGGGCTTCAGTAGCACGTCTCCATTCAACTCTGTTCTCTGCAGTCTGCAATGGAGACATGCTACTGATTAGTTTGTAAATATGTTGAAGTACACGGGTTTTAGGTGGATGTTGAGGTGCATAATACGCTTTATTATTAATGCTCCTTATTTTGAATAACACAATTCATTTAACAGCATGTTCACACTGTACAGCTTTATGGTGTAACCGCAATTATCTCCCTTGTACTTGGTATAGATTAGATATTAAGACCATTAGAGGGATTCATAAGGGATAAGCAAAACTTTCTGACCCTAATTATCAGACCTCATAGAATAACAGTTAATTTTCACTATCAGTTATGGTAAAATATCCGCATCATTCAACAACAGTTTTCGATATGTTTTGATTACAAATAAGATTGAAAAATAAACAACCATTCAGATGACAACTGACTTTTAATTACTAATCATTCAGGATCTTATTTTAGTTTGTTCAA